CATACAAATACAAATTCAACTTAAGAACAAACCTACAGTCCCTATCTTGTACGTAACCCGGGGACTGCCTGTATTTCAAAAAATTAACAAATCCAGTTTTCAAAGAAAAGACACTTTTGAAAAAGTTTACTGCAGAGGTCTTTCCATACAAACCACTGTTTGCCTTCCATCTGCACATGCAATCTGCTTCTATATTTTCAGCCAGCTTGCACGGGCAGATTAATGTGTACAATTAGGAAGCAACCTCACAGGCGTTCAATAAACTGCCTTCGTTATTACACACAGGAGAGTCCCTTTGGATGTCTATAAAAGCCTAGTTTTCTGCCTGTTAGCTAAATAATTGACAAAGCTTAAAATAATCAGGAGCAAATGAACAAAGTGAAGAAGACTCTGGTGAAAGAGCAAACAAGAGATTCTGAAGGCTGAAAGTGGTTTTTGCAGTGTCTGAGCTCTCTTTAATAGCCTTTATTTACAGTCTGGTCAGGTTTGGGTTGGCACGTCTGGGAGGAAAATGTGTTACTGGCCTGCTGTTTGAGCCACATATCACACAGCCCTGAGAAATGGCAAGGACACTACTAGTTGTCTTGTAAAATAAAATAAATAAATCCTATTTTGGTTTATATTTTATTTTCTTGTACTTTATGACGTAAGTAGACTTTTCAGAAGCTGGTGAACAGAAGGTGAGGATGAAATTCAGACACTATGTTTGGAATATTCGCCTTATATAAACTCTTAAAATATATTGAGCATATATGTATGCCAGCGTCATACTGTCTGGCAGTTATAATTAAAAATTCAGCCTTCAAAAGCCTCCTATATTGCCTCCACAGTTTTTCTAGCTCTAGCTTATTAATTATTGGATATGGTAAGAGCTGCTCTCTTCCATATTACTGCCTACTTGTACTACAGATCAGCCTATCCATCCACTTTCCAAAGCACTCAACACTAATGTATAAGAAAGAGTCAAAGACGACAAGACGTTGTCAGAGAGAAAACCTGGGTTTAATTTTGTGAAAAGGTGGCATTACATTTCACTATATTAAAATCAGGCTCAGATTATATCCAGTGTCCTTAAAAACTGCAGCTGGGATTGCAAGTCACTTTGAAATGCAGCC